AGCTGTTCAGTTGTATCTTATATTTCTGTAACTGTATCATTCTCCCTGTATCATTCTCCCTTAAAAAAAAAGGTCTTTTTCTCAAGTGAAACCATTGCATGAGAAAAGACCATGGAAAACTTTGGAAAACCAGTAACGTTTTGTCTCTTGGTGGCTGTCACTATTGCTGCTGATAGGATTTGATAGGGAAGTTCCACAATCAGCTATCGCTGGCCCTGCAGAGCCCAAAAGGCAACTGGATTTCAGGGTAGTTGGCCATCAGGAACAGCACTGGCAGCTTAGTGTTGATTGCAGATTTTCTTTCTTCTGAATAGGAAGATGAACTTGCCTAATGCAGACTGAAAACAACACTTTTTCTTTCCTCTCCTAAAAAAAGTAAACATCTACTGGAAGAACTTATTTCCTAAGACTTTCCATGCATAAAACAAGACTGGGTGGCTTTCAAAAGACACGCAGGAGTGCAGTCCCCAGCTCTATGGCCTGTGCTATGCCAGGAGCCAGCCTGAGAGCAGAGGGGAGGTCTGAGGGTTTGAGCTGCAGCACAGAACTGCCCAAACCGGGCCTGGCACCGTCCGAGGGATGAAGTTTTGGTCATGCTGGCCCAGCTCGCCGGCTGGTTTTAGCTGCTCGGTTTAAAGCAGTGGATCTAGTTCATGTTTACACCCCTGTCTCCAATGTGAGCGCTTGGGAGTCCATCACAGTTTGCTTTCACCCTCTAAAATGGCAGGCCGTGGTTCTGAGCGGAGACAGCAGCGCTTTTCTAGCCGCCTTCAGCCACCCTCCCAGCTCAGCCTCTTGGTCAGTCCTGCTGTGAAACTGGAAAACGCTCTGAATTCCTCTTTGAAAAGGAGATACTGGCTCGAGATGCACAGGAGGGGTAAAGGAGCCACCACTGCACAAGCCCTGATGCGCTGGGCCAACAACATGATGAAGGACTCAGGCCTGCCCAGGTGTTTGCTGAGGTTGAGCGGGTTCAGAGTTTCTATGCAGAGAGGGTGCTGCTTGAGATCTGTTCCTGCCCATTCTTTCTGTCTCTCTTTCCTCATTTTCCTACTCCAAATCTTTTTTTTTTTCTCCAGAGATCTGGTGGAAGAGAGGATATCTGTGCCCTGGCAGACAGGGAACCACGGGACAAGGAGGCTGCAGCAGGGTAGCAGTTCTTCCTCCACTGCAAACAGGAGCTCAAGATCAGCCCAAAGCTCCAGGAGAGGAGACTAAGCCTGCAGCATGACAACTGCAAACACCCATGCTGACATCCCCCAAGAACATCCATGCTGACATCCCCCAAGTCTGGAGAAAGTTGGTTTTCTAGATGAAGCTATCTCTACAGCTGAATAAAAACAAATAGGAAGTTGACAGAAACCATCCAAAAGAGAAAGAACGAAAAAAAAAAAAAGTGCAGTGACACTACCTTATTATGCTAAGGCCATAAATGGACATTCAACAAACTTCAGACAGCAAATTTTCTCCCAAAATTTCACGGGTAAACATGGAATTCATTTTTCTTGTCACTTAGAAGACACATTTAATGAAGCTTTCTACCTAAGCTTTTAGACTCTTTAATTAAGTGGGGTAGGAACTCTTCCCCTGCCTTTGGAATGAAAGCTGTAGCCTTTAATGTGGGAGAAATCTTCCCAATTCTCCCTCCGTGTTTTCTGAACTACATTGGAAGGCAAAATGGCATTTTTATTCACACAAGATTGCTTGGGTGATCTCTGGGGATCTCCCTTTAAAAAAGGCTTTGGGATGAATGTTAAGTGCAAAAAAACCCCAAAGAAACATAACAAAAAATGGCCTCCAGCCACCCTATTGTTTGGGAGGGAAAAAACAAGGAGAGAAAATATTCTCTGTAATCACAATGCTCTCGAAAGACAAATAATAGACACAAATCAACTGCTTTTTTGAAATGCCAAAACAGGGGTCAGATTGGTAAATTCCATGCTTTAGTCTCAGCCAAAGTGCTTTACTGAAAAGGAAATCTGAATAGCAAAGGCCAAATGTCTTAGATTAGAAACATCTTTATGGCACTGATGAAGAATAAATGCGCCTTTCCAAGAAAAAGAAATTCCCTTTATTTCCCAGGCCATTTTTAATAGTGGTTGTGTTTGCACTCTGTTTCATGCAGGGGTAAAGGAGTCTTCAAGGGCCTGGGCAATGAGAAGACAAATCCACAGCCCCTTTCCCCATTTCCAGTTCTGGCTGGCACGGGTTACATGATACTGGTGATACAAAACAGGACTGTGTGGGCACCTGAGCTAACTCTAGCACTGAAAGATTAGGAATCGGATCACCAAACCCACCATCTAGCAGAACACAGCTTAAATATCATATGATATAAGAAAATTAGAGAAAGACTAAACTACTTTAATCTGATGCGCCTTAGATCCTCTGAGGGGAGAAGTACAAGTCAGCAAAACATTTATTTCTTTTTACAAATGCAGTAATTGATCCTTAAAAAAAAAGGCCCAGGAACTGAGCATTTGGAGCATCCTATCGAAGATACTATGACTGGCAGCTTCACTGTTCCTCCTGCAGCTCATGAAAATTGGGATTTGAAACCCCCCTTTAAGGTTCTAACTGTCAGAAATGCCTTCCCTATTTGGTTTTTACAGTCTGCAACTCTTCTGTCAGTAAGTGTCAATAAACATAACTCCTTCTGCCTCGCAAAGAAAACCACCGAGCTGGAAGCTGTTTGCTTCCAGTGCTTTCATCAACAGCTTTCTCTGTCTATCCTGTGGTTTCCTGACCTCTCCAGTGAATTCTGTGTGTTAGGAGAGCTCTGCCTACAGCACTTGGCTCTCCGTTAACTCCTTTTCCATCATTCTGTTTCTCCCATCGAACACAGCCTGTGTGGGCAGGATTTGCTCTGCACAACTCCTCTCTCAAAGCACTGGTGACGGTGACAGGTGGCTTCCCATGTGCACTGAGCGCAAGGGCACGGAGTTGTCCCCAGTCCCAAATGCACAGTCCACCAAGGAGAACAAACTGAGCACAAATCAAGTCTGGGGGCTTACCTGGGGAAGGGCCTGCACCACTGTGTCCAGGAGAGCTCGCATCCCAGTGGCCATTTTAAGTAGTTTCAGCACTACAATAAGAACCAGAACCTAGTCAGTGGGGATGGGGTATATCTGGGGCAAAACTACAAAGAAAATATAATTTCAGGTCCTGTAGGGAGGGTTCACATCTCTCTTGTACTGGTTCACACATATGGCAAACTCACAGCATCCTGCAAGGTCCAGAAAGATCTAAGCATCCTGACTCGATCTCTCATCAACTGATATTAAAGACTTTGGAAAAACAGACCAAAAGCCACAAAAATTCCAGTATGCCCTAACAAGAGCAGGATGGGGAGATGCTTCCTCAGGAAGAGCATCATCACAAGCTCCAATCCTGTCTTCTCTGCTGGTTCCTTCTCTTGTTTGGTACCAGTAAAAAAGGTCTGGAATCCCGGGTTGGAACTGGAGACCAAGCTGAGACCCCTCTCGAAATGCTGCTGGAATCCCACCTAGTTTGTATCTGCATCAACATTCTGCAGCCTCATCTCGTAACTGTTCTCAGAACTAACCGAAACAGCAGCACTGGGAGAACAAATGGCCAAACTGTTCCCTGGAGTGTCCGGAGGGGTGGCTGAAGACCTCCGGAGAGAGCCTTACCTCTGGCTATCCTCAGCACCCGCATGATGCGGATTATTGTGGGATTGATGGGCAGGGCAGCGTTCATCTCAATCTCCTCCAGCGTGATGCCCACGATCGATAAAAGAACGATGGCCAAATCCAGCTGATTCCACCTAACAGACAAAGAAAGGACAATAAAGGAAAATCACCCATGTCATCCTGTCACCCATGTCACCCATCACCATAGTCAGCCTAGAAAGATGCCCAGAGATAGAGAATTGTCTGTTAATCACAGGCAAATCCCAAACCTTCTCCTCTCTCATATCTAGGCCAATGATCCCATTCTAGGTGGCACAAAAGAAACTCACTGCAGCTGGCACGAAGAGTCCCGAGTCACTCACTGCTGTAGGGTGGCATTTTATTCTGCTTCCCTGTCCCTGTCATCTCCTGGCACCCACTTAGAGCCACTCTCAGACACAGAATATTGGGCTAGAGGGAGCACCTGCTCCCATGTCACATCCTGTATCTCAAGTCTCTCTGTTTGAGTGTCTTTACTGATTTATAGTCTAAATATTCCAGACCACCTTCCACACCAGCACTGGAAAGCCAATAAAGTGTGAATAAACTGAGCACCTTCTCTAAGCAATTTCTCTAATATGCAATATTGTTCAGGGCAGTTTCCAGTCATCCAGTGACAGTAAATGAAGCAAATGAGCAAGTTTCCAGGACTGTGTGGAAAAGGGTCTGACTGCACCGCTCTCCAGCAGGTCTCCAAACCACAATGTGCTCTCACACACGTCGGCTTCTGGCTGAAACTGCAGCAGAATGAGATCTGTGGGTGCCAGCAGCTGCGATGTGAAGGCAGCGGGGCTCCACAACCACCTCTGTCTTTGCTAAGGGGTTGACAAGGACAGCAGCCTACCAAAGGCTTGCCTAGACCTCTAGGCTGAGCAAGTTGCACCTGACAGAGTGGCAGTTCATGAGGTTAGGAACTTATCTGCAGTTTTGTAAGATTCCCTGAATGCCCTCAGCAAAGCAGCAGCAGCAATTCTGGGGACTTTTAGCTCCTACACTATAAAGTTTGCACCCTCAGAGAGACAGCCCTTTGCAATTCCTGGCACACAGCGTGTGGTACCACTGCTGCAGCGATGCTACATTTGCCCAGCATCTGGCTTCTAAACTGAGTCAGTACAGCCCTAACCCAAACACAAAGTTCCTTAAAACGCTCTCACCTGTCCTTAAAGAACCTCCGGAAACCAAACGCCACCAGCTTCAGAACGGCCTCAAACACAAACACGATGGTGAACACATAGTTGCAGTACTTGAGAGCTTCATCCAGGGACTGAAAAGAGAGGCACCAGTTAGTCCAGCCCAACTGCTGTGTCCTAGACCCACCGTGGAGGCACCGGCAGACACCGGGGTGGCATAAGCACGGAGATGTAAGAAGCAATGTCATATTAGCTCGCAGAGTTCAGTTACAAAACACCGCATTAAATCACACAGAGAAATGCAAATAAAGGATTAGGCACTGATACAAACAAGAAGCCCATAAGCAGTAATAACTAGCTGTGCTAAAAATGACAAGAGCTATCAATTCTCCAACTTCAGTGCACATGTTGTTCAGACCTGGGACACAGAGAAGATTCCACCTCTTCCCCTTCTAATAGAGTTTACTTCTTCTGCACTGCCTAGGACTGGGCAGAATAAAAGACCTGCTGGATCATTGCTTTATTCCAGCATGGCAATCCTTAGGACAATGGCTTTGCTTAACACACTCAGAAACATAAATAATGTGGGAGACAGATTAAGTCGTGCCTTCTTGAAAAATGTTACATCTCCAGCGCTGGGAAAAGAATATCCATATTTGGTGCAATATTCACTCTCTCTATAGAGCTGCTCTCGGAAGTCAGGAATCCACAGTGTTTATACTCGAAGATGATGAGTGTTTATAACAGATTTCATTGGAATTGGAGGCCAACAATAGCAAAAGAATCTTACATGGACCTTAAAATAGATAGTTGCAGAGTAAAACATCTTTTTTGATTGGGGTGAGGACTTGGGGAGAGCAGGGGGGGAAACCAAATGTAGTTAAATGCAGGATAGGTCTCTTGCAAATAAAAAAAAATGACAACAATGAATATCAAAACAGTCACAATTGGAAATAAAACACAACAGAATAGGTTAAAAAGGCTTTTTTTGCTTTGGTAACAGAGGACACCTCAGGCCACAGGAAAACTCTTCTCTTCATAGTCGTGTGATGCCTGTGCTTTATTGACCCCAGATATGCAGGATCAACATGCACGGACTTTTTGGAGGAATTGGAGCTAAAACTTTTTTCAGATGCTGCTATTCCTCAAGGCACAACTCTCTGTTTTTGTTCCTAGTGCCTAAAATAAAATGGCTACCTTAAAAGAATGTGGCACAATTTATTATTTCATATCAAGCTCATTGCCTGAGCTTAAGCTCTCGTAGTATTTGCAACGGTTTGCATTCATATTTACACTGCTGTGTTTTACACGAACGTAAAACAAGTGTAAATAAGATCTAATCTGAATAAATAACATTTACACGTGAGGCTGAGGCTGTTATGGAACTGAATTATGGGGGCAGAAAATACACAGCCTGCAAGCAACAGGCACACACACATTCCCTGTGGCCGGGTGCCCCTTGGCTTGGCTTCCAGGAGGCCTTTGCAGGTGACCTGGCAGATCATGCAATACTTGCAGAGCAAACACTGAGCCTGGAGCTCTGTGAGCCACGATATAATGCAAGGTTTTTACAGGCGACAAATCCATGGGCTACATGATTTACAGCAAAAGATTTTCTTGGCAAAACAGGATTTTAGGATACGCTAAAAAAAAGTCACTGTACTTGAAGTAGATTTACTCCAAATTCATTGAGGAAAAGAAACTTTTTGCTCTACGTGCATTAGCTTCATATTTATATCCATTAATGGACCATTCTAACACTCTGGACTGTTTTACAGCCTGAGGATAAATCATTGCTGGGCTCAGGAGAGGAAATATTTGCTCTGGTCTTCCTTCTAGCAGCACTTTATTCCACTCCCTGTGGGCCTGCTGCCCTGCTTGCACGCAAGAGCAGATCCTGCCTTTGGAAGCTCTGGCCTTGGCCTACGTGATGGTGGAGTCAAGTTCCTGGTTGTCACGAGAGGCTCTTTCCCGCATGGAAGATGGAGTTGGCATCCCCTGGGAGCAGCGTGCGGTCCTCAAGGCCACGGCCACCCTGCTGCCGTGTCGCGCATCCCCTGGCTCTTACCTTGGGCTGGTTGTAGTGCTCCATGGACATCGTGATGACGTTGACGCCGATGATGAAGGTGATGAAGAGGTCCAGGTAGTGGCTGGTGCAGAGGCTGTGGATGTACTTCCGCGCTGGGGAATAGTCCGCGTAGTAAGGCCTGCGCTGGGCTTCTGCGGGGAAAGGCAGAGAGAGGCCACGCGGTGAACGCAGGCCCTGCGGCTCCGCGGTGGCACGTTGGCCGTCACAACCACGCCAGGACCTGCTGGTGGTGCCTCACACCCGCCTGGATGCAGGGCAAAGCCCTTTGGACAGTCAGCAAGCTGTGGAATGGCCAAGAACTTCTAGCTAGTCCCAAGGCCTTCTGAACCTGCAGCTGGGTCATGCGCCCGAGCCGAACCTCCTGGGCCAGCACGAGGGACCTGGCCGGCTTCCTTCTTGCTCTCTCTTCCTACCGCTTCATCTCAGGCTAGCGAACAACCTCTGCACCTAACAGGGCTCCACCACAAGCTGGGAAGGGCGAGAAACGGGATGGAAATGAGACCATAAGCCAAGAGAAAAGCTTCAACCGCAGCAAAGCTTCAACTCCAGCTTGGTGGAAAGGCCCAGGTCGGGTCTTGCTGGTGGGAACATGCATCTATTCTAATGCAGACATCAGGCGTTTTGCACATAAGCCAGACCAAAACCTGAGCTTGGCATTATGGAGAGCGGCTTTCGGTGTGTTATAAAGGCCTAAGGAGAACATGGCAATGCCTGTGACAAAGTGGGACACATGCGGGACGGTGACAGTGACCAGTGCACGGGATGGGCCAGCAGCAGCAGAGTGGGTTGTTCAGCATCTCCAAGAGCAGCAGCACAATCTCCTCCAGAAATGTAAGAACAAGGGCTTGGCTGCGCCTAAAAAACCACTCAGGCCACAAACACATCAATTTTATCTTCTGGTCAGGACTCCTCCTTTATTGCGTTTGAAATGGGGAAATTTCTGCACATGATGAAGCCCCCGGAGCGGCTCCAAAGTTAATGTTTGGCCACTGCCCCGCGGCTGAAACGAATTTACTGCCTGTGGCTCTAAAATTAGCTCGTGACCACAGGATGGCTGTGGTCACTCGCGTGGAGTCGAGCTCTTTTCAAACTTAAGAAATGCAAACATTCAAGAGTGTACTTAAGGGCAAACTCAGCATTACTGGAGATTTTGCAAGTGGAAAAGACATCTCAGGTCACATGAAGTCAGAGCCGGATTGTTCTTAATAATGTTTCTTATTTTTTGCAAATGTTTTGGCAAATTTGGCTTTAAATGCAGGAGGATCTATGAAAAAAAAGCAGCTTAACCTTGAAAACAATTAAATAAAGAAGTTCTAAAGCAGTCATAGTCCTCCAGAAATATATCTTTTACTTCTCTCATTGTGCTAATCTTTCAGATGGAGTGACTCTTGAAACAGCCTTTTTTGTTAGAGCGGCTGGTAGCAGATTAGAGTTCAAAACTGTACAATAAATTGGATAAAAGGAAACTGAATCTGCTGCTCTCTTTCAAGGACTATATTTTTATGGTACTTAAAAGTGAAACGGAGACATCTAAAAAACATTTCCTTTTCAGTGGGGTCATCTAGGCTTTTTTTTTTTTTCTTCTGCTAATGGGAGTGGAAAAAAACAAGATGAAAGCAAACATAAGTTATTTTTGAATGCATTTTGGTGTTGCTTATGTGCCTAAAAGCTATCAGTCAGCTCGGACTGGAATAATTGTCATTGCTACTGAGCTTGGCTAATGCTCTGATGTGTCTAGAAAACAACAATAAAAATATTGCAGGAAGATATTCACTTTAGTCTGTACAATATGCTTTCCCGTGTACTCAGGATCACAAAATGCTCTTTTTCTCCCTATATTTTTTTTGAAATGTCTTCTTGGGAATGCAAGAAATCACCTTTTGGGAGGTCTAAGGATGCCCCAAGCAGTTGATTATTATATTAAGGACCTATTTATTAATAAGCAGATGATTAATGGTTCTCAGAAGAACGTTAGCAGTGGTGGGCAGTGCATGAAAACAGGCTGCAGGTGATCGCAATTACCCTCTCAACAGTACAGGAACAGCCACTGAGTAACCACTTGGTAAAAAATGGCCTCATTATTAAATTCTATGAACTCTTTGCCTAATTCTTATCACAAAGCACAATCCCAAGAAGACACTGCCCCTGCAAAGCTGCCCAAACAGAAACTCCTCTGGCAAGACAGTGCTCTTGTTGCAAGGCTGGGCATCCAAATGGCACAGAGGGGTCCCCGCCGTGCCAAAGGGACCTGCTCCATGGCATGAGCGTCCCCCAGGGCCGTGTCTGTAGCCTCTGCCAGTGCTCGGTGCTGGCTAAGCCTGATCCACTGGTTGGAAAACTTGGGCTAGGTTTAACCTGGGCTGGGAGAAGGAGGCTCTAGGAAAAGCGTTAAGTGTTTGGGATGCTCTACGTCCCTAAAGCTAAATGGATGGAGAAGAAACTCCTCTCAGGACGCACACACAAGGGCTACAAGGGATAGGGTTGCCCGCATGCAACAGCACCGTCATGCTACCCATGCAGTGTCCATTAGAGGAGATGCTCATGCAGGGCCGTGGGGAGGACAGGCCGTGCCCAGGGTGGGCTGGGGGCTGCGGGGGTGGCAGCGGCACCGGGTCACCCGCGCCAGCGCGGCCGCCTTCACAGCAGCACTGCTCATTCCTGCCCCCTTCCGCAGCGGGAATGCCCATCAGCAGCAGGGCAAGGGGCTCTTTGAAACCTCTCCGGCCCCACCACGTTTGCACCTCCTAATACACCAGCTCATTCGGCCCGGCTTGGGTGAAGAGCTCAGGGCAGGTCCCTGCCGCGGGCGCCCGCCCGGCTCAGTGACATGGGGACAGGAGAGGTGGCACAGCGAGATGGGCAGAGCAAGGGCAGTGTTCATCACAGCAGACCAAGCACAGTCTGCACCAGGTTTCTCCAAGGAAACCGTTTCTGGGATGAGACTCCAGCCAACAGGCAGACGCGTCCAAGATCCCCCCAGGAGATGGGGTCCAACTACCCCATCACCGCCACCGAGGGCTGGAGCTGCTGAAGGGAGGGACGGATGAGGAGACACCATCAAACAGAGAGAGAAGGGAAACGATGGCTCTTCCTGGCCCCTGCCTCCCAATGCTTGAATGCTAATGCTTGAATCTCACCTCTCTGCAGAACATTTAAGCTTCTTCACTTGAGATTCTGCTGACATGAGAAGCAATGCAGCACTGTCCCCAAGCTAAAAAGCATTTCAGCTGGCATTACAGCTGCCAGCTAACGCTCCTCCACTACTCGTCTGGGCATGAAACACGAGCAAGCCCTCATGGGTTTGCTTGGCACGGAGCAGTCCTATACCTGCCACCGCCTGCAAAAAAACAGTCAAAATGGTTTGGTGATTCCCTAGTTGGGAATACTGAACACTTGGATTCACGGTGCCCAGATTTTTAGCTGCAGCTCAAATATTTCTGCGGGATCTGGGAGGGCTAAGGCTGAAAACCGCTGAGCGCTGCTCGTGACTGCTCATCCCTAGCTCCGAATAGCACGGAGGAGATCAAGCCGATCCATGTGGCTTTAATCAAAAACTTTAATCTGGGGAGGCTGGTTTCGGTCTGTGTCTCCTGAGCAGCTCATTAAAAGGTTAGGAGCCGCAAGATTATTAAATTACAGTACACTTATTTACATAGGGCATATATCTGATGGAGATAGTGACTGTGTCAAAGAAATATTTTAGCTTATCTTGAGTTTTTACCTTCACATGAAAAAGTACACCCTCCAGCGCTGCCTTTAAAAACACATCCAACGCATATGCATTTCCAAGGGATATCCACCCCTCCTCCTCCATTTCATTTTGGCAAATACTTCTCCTTGCTCCAGCGCTGTTGGAGGTGCCCAGCACACGAGCCTGGGAATGCCTGAAGCAGGACAGGCCGATGCCGTGGGGCTTTGGCTGGAGCTGGGATGTGCAGGCTCCCTAATCCGTGCGTGGGAAGAGGCACCCGCTGGTGGAGGATCCTTCCTGCCCGTCCTCCGCTCAGGCGCAGGGCAGGAGCGCAGGAAGGAGGCTGAACAAGCCGGCCCTGCTCCATCTGCACAGGGCACTTTGGTGTCCGTAGGTACCCGCTGCGGCCTGGAGACCCCAGCACATAGGAGCAGGCACAGGCCTAGGGAAACGGGGGTGCTGCACACGGAGGACATCGCACACAGGTAACAGGACACAGAGATAAGATGCCAGCAGACAGAGCGAGTGCCCAGACACAGGGACACAATTGCTAGCTGTGCTATGCGTCGGCCTTGCAAAGAGCCCTAATTCCGTCCCTGAGGCTAGAAAAGGTGGCTTAAAAGAAATGGCTTAAAGGTGGCTCCTTGTTGGCTCCCCAGTGCATCCCCCTTGCTCCTCTGCACCTACATCCATCTCCTGTGCATCCTCTGGCCTCGCAGGACAGCCTGGACAGCGGTGCCGCTGGCACACAGGGGGCAGGACACCCTCCCTGTGCATGTCCCCGTGTCCCCGCGTTGCCAGGCTCACCAGCACACCCGCCACGGCGCCCACCTTCCTGAATCTGCCGTTTTTTGCCAAACTCTTCATCTTCTACATTAGCCCAAAGGTGGAAACTCCTCCCATTTAAATAAAAAGAACATTGACATGTTCAGCAGCCCTAACCATAACCGATGCGTATCTGCTAGGTGATTCCACCCTGTTAACAGTTTGGGTTTGGAAGCCAAGCTCTCATGCTGAATGGGGACAGGTAGGAGACCGCAGGGCCGGACGATCACGAGCAACCTCCTGGAAGGACCAAACACAGAGTCTCATTTGCTATATTGGACTTGATCCCCATCCAGAAAACTGTCCTCCTCTCTGTGCTCTCCATGAAATGTTACACTCTACGTCTATGCAGCGCCTGGGTCTGCAGTCTCAAATATCTCCTTGACTCCATCCTTCCAGATAGCTGGATAAAGATGGGAACAGAACAGTGTCCAGCACTTTGACAGGGACTGGCTGTGTTTGGTGTCTGAGCAGTGAGCTACAAAAAGGCTTGTAATAAGATTTACCTACTAACGAGGAACAGCAACTGCCTATGATTAAACTGTCCTTCCTTACCTGTGCCCCAGTCTATTTTCTCTAAAGATGCTTTTCCTCATTGCCTGTGCCTAAGCTTTCTCCCTCTCTCTCTCTTTTTTTTTTTTTTTTTTTTTTTTTTTAATTTTTATATAACACCTGAGTTTATCTGAGACTCTTCTTGGGCCTTCACATCTGGGGTAGAAATTCTGTGCAGGCGGCGAGTCTCTTGAGAGCCCGACACTAACTTGTCTTAAACGCACAAACTGAAATAGAAAAAGAGAAATAAAACTGCATCTGAACTCTTCTAAATTTCTGAAGAGCCCCAACTGTTATTTGAGGCTGGCTAGCTAGATCTAGACAGGGTTTTATTTTAACCCAGCTACTTAACTCATGGCTAACCAAAATGCAAAGGGCTTGGCCTTAACTGTAGTGTCGGGTCTATCTGCTATTAAGGCCCTGTGGAGACCACAGTGCAGACGTTTATTTCTGAGGTCTCCTATGACTCTAAAAGAGGAGCAGAGGAGGAGCTGGGATGGACTCTGCTGCCTCCCTCAAGTGGGGATGGATGGAGGAAATCGGCTGGGCCTGAAGTTTCTGCTACAAAGGCTCTGATTGCTATGCCGTTACAGGCAGAAAAAAAGACTATTTGATCTAACTGCAGTTTTCCCTGCTGAAAATGGATACCCATGGGTTGATGTTTGGGGGCACAACTAGCTGTTTGTCATGACTAGATATTAAGCCCTTGTGGGAGATTACACAGAGCTGCTCAGCTATGGGCAAAGAGCCACAGGGCTGTGACGGCAAGTGGGGCCGAAAGCCCTCGAGCCTCATCCCTAAGCTCAGCTCTCATCACCATGGCCAGGCAGTTTCCCTTCACTTCTGAATGACGCTGGCCAATGTCTAACACGGTCTTTTGCCGTTTGCACTAAACTGTCCAGGCAGCTGCTATGGCTGCGTTCCCAATGGCATCTCCAGGATAGGCTGTAAGCAGCTTGTTCCTGGTGGAGCCTGCCAAGAGGCACTGGAGGTGAGAATTAACATGCAAGGATGCCTGGGATGCTTGGGTCAAGAAATGGGACCTCTTCTGGTTTGACTGTCCCTAATAGATCCACTAGAATCAGATTTCAGCTAAAGGTTGCACCCTGTTGCACCCATGTCCCTGCTCCTGGCCAGCATTCCCATCTCGCCCGTTCGCAAGGACTGACCGAGTCCCAACAGACTGTTCAGCACCAAAGGGCTCCCCCAGCACAGGACGGGACAAGCATCTCTTGTAATGGACATCTCCCAAAGAAGACTTCTCCAAAAAGCCCCATCTCGGGGCTCCATTTTTCTCCCCGGGGCCGTTGGTTTGTTCATGCCCTCATGCAGCATTTCTGTGGCATGCGGGGCCATGCGCCGGGACGCTAAAAAGCATCGCAACTACTCGGTCTAAGAAAAAGAACTACTAAATCAAACCACCACCAGCATCAATGCAAGCAGCACGTTAAGCCACAGGGCTACCCTTGGGACTGGCCTTTACGTGCACAGCAAGCATTGCAACCGTTTACTCAGTCACACCACGAGCTCCTGCTCGGTGCTTGGGAACCTTAGGGACACCTTTGCCTTGCAAAAATATGCTAATCTCCGAGAGAAGACTCTGCTTTGAGGAGCATCTGCTCCCCAGCCAAGTAAACAGGTAATGCTTAACACTGGGCTTGTAGAGGACAATTCCAGGGCGGTTGGCAACCCAAGACTTAAGGCACCGCTCAAGAGGTATTGAAGCAAAACAACCTCTTGAATCCCATGGAAACAAAACCAAAGGAAAACGAAAGTCTTGCTTTGGGAGCAGGCAGGGCTCAGAAAGATTGTGGTTTGTAACGCAGTCTACCGACCAGACAGGTATATCTCCTTACTCCTGCGCTTTTTCTCCAAGCGTCTCAGCCGCTTCTCCTCGCGCCGCCGGGCCTCCTCCGCCTCCTGGTGCTGCCGGCACTTGTGGAAGTTCTCCACGACCACCCCCACGAACATGTTGAGCACGAAGAAGCTGACGATGAGCAGGAAGGAGATGAAGTAGAGAAGCATCCAAGGGTTATGGTTCTGGATGGGCTGGTGAAGAGAAAGGAAGAAAAGGAAAGAGAAGACGCATAGGGACGATGTAGATAGGCTGGGATAACGGGTACAACTCAGCACGGTGGACTGTGGGAAGGAGGAGAGGGCTGGGAAGAGTTAGGTGATTCTTCCCAGAACATTTTCCTCTCCCTTTTTTCACTTAATATTTTACTTATGTTGTGGAATGCCCTCCTCCTCCCTCAATAATTTGGCTTACAGGGTTTTACTATTTTGGGGTTTACTTCACATAGCTTAAAATAAATCCCTTACAAGATCCCAGTGACTGTGTATCATCCCACAAGGGAGTTTATTTTAGATGAAGACAGGCTTCAGTTTGTTTTTCTGTGGTTTGTGCCCATGGTAATGTTTCTCAGTTGTTTTGAGTTCTTCAGAAAATTAAGTGCAAAGTGTTGCTGCTGCTACAATAGGGTACTACTCGTCTAAAGACTCCTGACTTTCTTTTGCCAAGGCCTCACACCTCACAGAATTAGCAATTCCTCTTCACAACATCCTGGTTCTCCATCTCACGTGAGTTTGCTCATGTGCATTGAACTTCCAGAAGGTCAGAGTGCAGCAGCACGTGCTGCAATGGGTGACTCTGGTCTGACCACAGGCAGCCCCCGGTCATCGCCCCCAGTCTCCCTGTTCAGCTCCTGTCCCACTGGAGGGACCAGATCCAACTCCCACTACCTACTTAACATGTATGTTTTAAAGGTAGAAGAAGTAGGAGGATGGAGCAGAACTTATCCTGTCCTCTTCTATTCCAAGCTTTTCCTGCAGCTATTGTAGCACTTCAGCAGTGTAGGGACAAAACAGGGTTTATTTTGCAAGTTTTTCAATAACTGTATCAAATCTGTCCTGATGAACTTGCATAAGAAAGTCCCATAAATCTTTTTGGTGATGTCTGCTGCCTGATATCTCCTCTCAAGCTCTATGACTCTAAGAACACCATCAATACTTGGCTGTGTGCTACATGGGCCACTGTAAGAGATATTCAGTGGAGGGCAGATGCCACCTGGTGCATAAACAGGACCTCAGCGAGGTCTTCCCTGGGGTTTCACGCAGCAGAGCCACCCAGCATGGGGTTCCAGGAGCAACACATTTGGACTCTGCAGTATACCTACCTGTTGGTCAATGCCCACAGCATCCAGACCATCGTACATGATGTTTACCCAGCCATCTTTGGAGGAGAGGACAAACAAAGACATGAGAGCCTGTAGGAAAAAAACAAACACATGGTCACGCATCTTAATCCTCAGAAAATAAAATAATAATAGACAATACTCAATAGAAGCAGCCTACAGCTCCTAACACATCATGTGGCCTGGACTGGTGAAATGCAATGTCAAGTGCACATGCAATAATGTGGTTTCCTTTCACGCATTTGGATATCTGCCTTAAAAGTGAGGAAACTATAGTCTGTTACACCACTTTTCCTTCACATACAGGCTTAATTTTTCTCAGTTTTGCTCCTTTGCACACATAATAGCTAAGAGTCAGGAGATTAAAAATGATAATTGAGGCTCATGCACAAGAAACTCCATGCAAAACCGGTGGCCTTAGACAACACTCTCCTAATCAAGGACTGGGTATCCCAGGTCTGGCTGCAAGACATCATAAAAGGTGACCTGGTCTGTTGCAGCTCTGAGTCCAGGGCACTTCTGACAGATAAAAGTCTATGTTGCCCTTGGAAACTCAGGGTGAAGGTTCCCCACCCTCCCCAAGGAATACATTTAAAGTGCTCATCTATTAAAACCTATTAGAGAAGCCCCCTGAATTGAGGACTTTACCTGTCCCAAATTGTCAAAATTGTACTTCCTCCGAACCCATTTGTAGCGTGCATTAGTGCAGTCAGTCTTCGTAGTGATGTTTTTCACGTCAGGACCATCACAGTAGTAGAATTTGCCTTTAAAAAGCTGCATTTGAGAAGAAAAAACAAAAAATACATTTTGAAAAGCTTGTCCCTGATTTATAGTTCTTTTCCCCTGGTAGAGTTGTTTGTTAAGTTCAAATTCCTTTTCTTGTCCCTCAGCTCAGACACTTGTCTTAACACTCAAGGCAGGAAAACCACTTCTGGTGAAAACTCACCAGACCTTCAGTGACCTAAAGAGCTTCAGTGGAGCAAATGCCACCTCCTCCCAGAGCACCTCTTTCAAGGCCTAGCTCTTTCCTCTTAACATCTAACAGAAATCTTCCTTTGATGAGATTTAAGCTCATTATTTTCACTTGAACCCCAAGCGGTGGGAAAAGCAGATTCTCTGTTGCAGCAGTCCCTTGCAGATGGGAGAAGCTTGGGAAATACTGTACCTGCACCCCTAAAATCCCAAAGATAATGAAGAAAGCACAGCAGATGAGAACGATATTCCCAATAGGCCTCAAGGAGGAGATCAAGGTTTCTACCACCAGCTTCAGACCTGGGGCTCTGCTGATGACTCTAGAAAACACGGTAGAACAACAGAGGTTTTAGTTTTTATTCATGTCCTGTTACTACATGGTTGTTTTTCCCTGTTAGTATGAGCTGCAGTAAAGCTAAAATTACCCTCCTCTATCTGCAGGCTTTATTCAGAGATGATTAGTGACATATTTGGACAACCAAAACATTCACAGTTACATTAAATGGAATTCAAAGTGTAAAAGGTGTAAATCATGTTGGGAAATTGCTTACTGAGAATAGTGGGGAAGGAATACTTCCTAAGTGCAGGTTCCCATTGCATGGTTATTTGCACCTTACTCCAGAAAGTCCCTCCAAGCTCTCTGTGATCCAACACTACCTCTGTAAGAGCTTTACATTGGCATTAGAGAACGTCTCGTGCTCATCTTGTAGAGGAAGAAACACAGGAACAACTGAGGTCCCTCAGAAGGGCTCTTTGGAAAAGCAGGAGACTCCAGTGCTCATCCTGCCGGGCACTCTACTTCCCTATGTCCCCTCCTAAAAATACCAAGGCTCTAAAGCACATGCTTACCTTGCCATCAGCAGGACTCCCTCCCTGTGCTCTCAAAGGCGACACTTAAGTGTCCTACCAGCCTGGGCCCCATTTCAAACAGAGTCATTTCAGTTTGTTTCCTAATTAATTCCTGAACCAACTCCTACCCAACAGAGACTTGTGACCAACAGCTCCACTGCCAAAGGGTCATCCCATTAAAGAGAGGCCTCTGAGGCAACTGAGAGGCCGGACACGCTCTGAGCGTGGCCTAGGGCAGGTTTGGGGTGTTATGGAAAGCGAGTGTTTGCTTTTTCTGTTTGAGTGCCTGGTGAATGGCTCTCCCCGGGGACTCTGAAAAATGTGTTTGCACACACAAGGCTGAATGAGCTTTTCCAGGGAGGCGGGTGTTTTGACTGAAGAACATCAAGGCATTTCAGGAGGGACCTGTAGCAAGGAGAGGGTGAGAGGCCGTGTAGGTAACGAGCTTGCACGACTAAGGATGTTTTCACGCCAGCCAAATGCTGGGAAAACAGCAGAGCCCCGGGCTGCCAGCCAGTGCCCATTGCTGGGTAACACCAGGCAGCTGATCTTTCCTCTGGAAAGGAAAAATGTCCTGAATTTTGTTCCTTATTAGGTTGGTGGGATAGGAACCCGCCAGGTCAGGCGAAGGCAGCCTGAGCGTGTTCCTGATGAGCCTGTGCTGCAAGGGGACCGCGATGCCACGAGCACAACACGGTGTGGAGGCAAGAGAGGGCACAAAGGTCCTTGTCACCAAGGAAATGCAGAGCAGCAGGTAAATCACTCTGGCTCTGACAGTCAGGGGCCTAAACAAGATTGCCTCTTCTTGTAAGCAAGCAGCTTTTCATCAAAAAGTCCACAGGTCTCTGGAGGTGCCTATCTTCTTTCTAATGAAATTTCATGAAAAAAGGCTTGTGTTTCTTGCTGAGTAGGAGCTGTGAGCTGATAAGAATCCCCCAAGCATTAATACTTCTCCTTTTCCCTTTATTATTGCAACATCGTAAACAACATCCAAATAGCCTTTATTTTTTTTTAAATACTGAAAGTGTTGCCCTTCCTAGCTGAGAGCTAAATTGTTTTGCAATGATGTTAGATACGCAGGCACAGGAGAGCGGGCATAGATGCTGGAGCTTATCAAATTACTGTCAGCACCTGTTCAATTGAAAATTCCCTCCTAGCCCATGCAACCTGCTGTCTGTGGTTGTGCAGTTTAACGAGCAGCCAGACTGATTTGTTAAACAGTGATAAAAATGCAGAGCGGAGGAGGCATTTGCTGCACTAACTTCCTGAGTCTGATAACGCTTCTTGCTCCAAACTCCCTCTACTCTTCTCCATGCTGGTGAAGATGAATTATGTGAAAACTAATTTCACTGTTTTTGAACACTTTCACTAGATAAGAGCTCCCCACAGGTGGTTCTACCTATATGGGGTTTCAGCTTTTTGTATCATAAACAAAACCTCGATGGGTCATGTGAATGTTTTTCAAACTCCTTCGTCTATCAATGCAAAACAAACCCAGCCACCCTGTTGCTGAAAGTACCGGAGAGGTCTCAAGGTCCGCAGAAGTCTCAATACCCGAAGGACACCCAGGATCTTAGCTCCGCCTGCCGATGCCATGGAGACAATAATGTCAATGATAGATACAAAGACCAGGACTCCATCTAGGACATTCCAGCTGCTCTGGAGATAGGTGTTCTCCCCAGAGAAGAAGCCAAGAGCTACCACCTGGAACCAGGAGAATAGGGACATTTAAATCTAATCAGCATAATCATAGCTATGTCATGTCTTCAGTCTATGCCAGGTCTCACCAAGGATCATGAGATGGAGACGTAATTACCTTAACCATCATTTCAGCCACAAAGATTGCAGTGAAAATGTAATTGGAAACACTTAGGAATATCCTTTCCTGTAAAACATAGAGCAACAGAAAATAGCCAGTTATTTAAAGAGATTAGAAAATAAACATCTTTCATCTCGTGGGATCTTTCCCTGACAAGACTGAGATGTGAGTGTAGAAACAAGCAATAAAATGACTCAGTACTCACCGTGCTCTGTGGGTCTATATCCGGTCGTTCCAGCGCTATCGTGATGCAGTTGAGAAATATGAAGACCAGCACCACATGATCAAACATTTTGTGGGCAATGACTTTCTGGCACATCACTCGGAACCTGCAGAAAGGAAGGGCAGAAGAATGTCCTTCATATGGTTGGGTCAGCAAGGAATTCCCATCTAATGACCTGTCTACAAAGGCCTTCCATGACATCTGTGCTGCCAGTAGTGGGTCAGGTAATCGATCTACAAGCACAAACTCCTGAAACCATTATTATTACTGCAGAAAACCAGATGAAATGGTGGCTGTTATCAATGGTGGCTAAACCACTCTTCTTTCTACACAGGCATGGAATGACCCATGCAGTGATTCTATCCACATGTAACAGAAATGTTACCTAAATATCTGGAATCGAATTTCTGAAATTCTCAGTGCTTCTGCATCGAAGAATTTTTTCCCCCCCCCATGAAAAACCTAGCTAAAAGTATATTATTCAACTACCTCAAAAACTTGGCATTTCACCAGGATTTCTTACCGATTCTGTGGGGAAAACAAGTAGAGGGACCAATCTTCATGATTCTTGCACCACTCTGGTTTGTAGGGCTCTAAGACTTTACGAATCCGGTAGCAGTAACTCTAGGTAGAAAAGAACAAACATCTTTTTTCCTCTTTTATTTTCCTGCCTCTTCAGCCATCATGGTTCCCCCTTGAAAGGGGGGTAGTACCTGGCATTTCAGGGTGCCCGCAGGGAGTCCCAGCATTTTTGAGAGAGCTGGGGTCGGAATGGGGAAGGGGTAGTGCGTTCTTCCAAAGAACGTACGAAAGGAGTGATTTACAGAGAGATACGGACTCGACAAGCCAGATTCTGGGCAGGTACCATTGTGAGATACGAAGTTCTGTCAAAACTTAAAAGATGTCAAACAATTTTTGGAGGCACCCTGGGCAAGAGGAATAATCTCAGTCAGAAGACGAGGCACATGTGTGAACATCCCCTGTGGCCCTGCTCTGCTGGAGACCACTGAAATGCAACAGGCCACCCCTTTAGCTAAAGAACTCCCTGGGAAGCAGAGGCCCACGCCTCAAATCTTCATTCATTTTGTCTGCACAAAGGCAGCAACACACGTGAGCCCGAGTGGGATTTTTAATCAACCTTCCTGGAATAGGATCACATCCTAACACACGAGCCCCCGGCTCGCGCTGAACTCACATCCTCCATGTCGTCCTCGTAGTCCAGCGCGTCCTCCTTGTGGCTGTCGACGCGCAGGAAGAACTCGCTGGGCACGTGCACCATCTTGCCGTTGCAGTCCTGGTACTCGGCGGGCAGGACGGCCACGGGGCTGACGCTGAGCGAGGGGCGCGCGGGGGGCAGCTGCAGCAGCTCGGGCAGGTCCAGGGCGCTGCGGTAGTCCAGGGACTCGGCCCGGCGCTGCAGCGAGGCCCTGCTCACCGTGCTGGACTTGGCATCGTCGGAATCGTCGTCCGTGCTGCCTTTCCCCTCCCCTGAGAGCAAGGACTCTCTTTCGCCCGTCTGGTTCTTCTTTTTGAGGCTTGGGGCTCTGCCCAGGCTGTTCCAGCTTGAGCGGCGGCTCCCCCAGTTGCTGCTGGTCCCCCAGTTGGCGCAAGGGGAGCTGCGGAGGCTGGACTGAGAGAGGAGAAAAACAGTTGAGGTTTCATTTGCAGGAGGATGCCAACAGGAATGGCATTTTGCCCAGACTGGAGGACCCCTCCTGTTGCGACTCACCTTCCCCTTCCAACCCTGCTTTTATCATGTTGATGCCTCAAGAAAGGAGCCAAGCACCCAGCTGAGCCCACACCGAAAACACCCTTTAAACTGCACTGCAGCGCACCTACCAATGCTGCATGCTGTGGGATTTCCTACAGCAGTGGCAACGTTCATAACCGAACCCAGGGGCACTACCGGCAACGTGGCCCTGTCTTTCCTCATGCCAAAGTGGCTTCAGCACACATCTCCCCAGCATCCAAAGCCGTTCCAGCACTTAAAACACAAGTGCCTGTTGGAAATGGTGCCCTCATTCACATTCTCTTTTCTCTTTTGTGACCCTGTGCCCCGTGCTCTGGGTGTCCCTGTCTGAGCAGGGGGTGGGAATAGATGATCTCTAGAGGTCCCTTCCAACTTCAACCGTTCTGGGATTCTTTAATTTGCTGCATATGGAGGTGTAATGAGTGTCTCTTTCACAGCAAATTTCTGCTGGTGATCAATGTGTCACTGCACTTTTCTGGCTGGTAGTTGCCAGGGGGAGAGCACTTAAGGTGAGATCAGGAAAGCCAGAAGGAAAACTCCTTTTCCCTCCATGTGCCCTCCTGGCACAGGAGCAAGGCCAAGTACCTTCCTCCTTCCCAAGGCTGTTGGCCAGCTCTCCTCCGACTGCTTCATCTCCCTTTGGCTGGTGGCACTGACACGCTCTCAGAGAGAGGATTTAAACCACAAGCAACCTTTTCCGGCAACTCACAATCCCATGAAACCTCAAGGCAAACAACAGAGTCATCTCTATTTTCCTTTCAAAAGCATTACCTTGACTAAGCAGCTTACCAAGGGGAATAGTGGCTGTGTGTGAAGTGCCTTCACGGTCTGCTGCCTTGATGTGAACACGATATTGCAGTTACAGAGCAGAGGAACAGCGCAGATAAGCAGCGGCTGCAATCCACTTTGTCTATTAACTCTGCTCCCTCTGTTTTCACAGAGCTGCCCTCCTGCTCCCCTGTTACAGGCAAAATGAAATCATTTGCCAGAGCAGCCGGCTCTCTCCCCTCCATGAGCACTTGGTTGCAATCCATTAACTCACACCTCGCTGCGTCTCTGCTTCCCCTCCAAAAGGGCTGCTGTGCCATCGCTGGAGCTCAGTGTTGTCCTGGTGGGGACAAACGCTGCATTCCCTTTGTGCCCAAGTGTGTCCCAGCTGCATTCCTAAAGCACTGTGGAGGGAGCCGGGCCTCAACCTGCTCCGCAGCTTCTCCAAGACACCCCAGCACAATCAGTGTGGTTGGCAGACTCTTCTCAAGGGGGTTTGGTGGGGCAGGCACTCAATGTGTCTTGTCTCAGGATGCTTTTGCTCACTGAAGGGGGTTCGCATGGGCTCCCAATGCAAGCCAGGCTGGAAAGTCCTGAGTCTCAGGACATCTGTGTTTCCCCCACCACATCCTGTCCTGCCATGCTGTCGTCGTCTCACCTCAGCATACCTCCTCATTTCTCCCTCCTGAATCTGTTCTCCTCCCATTCCTCATACTCGTGATTGCTACCACACTCCTTCCCATTTTCCAGTGATGCACACACAGCAGGAACGATCAGCTGGCACCGCACCAGAAGCACCAGGAAACACCGGGAAACACCAGGAAAGCACCAGGAAACACCAAGAAGCACCAGGAAGCAGAGACATATAATAGGAAATACCAGACAATCTTCTCTAACAAGAGCTGACTAACACACACATCAACTTGCTGTTTGCAAGCACTAGAAGGAGTGCTCTCAGCACGGGGAACCTACCAAGGACTTCTGATCGTAGCTCACAGGGTCTAGCGAAGCATTGCTCCCTCGCCTCGAGTCCACAAAAGTGTGCACCGAGTCCATGTGCGGGGAGCACTTCGGCGTGGGCATCGGGGTGGCCGCGGTGCGCATGATGATGGGAGGTGGCATGCTGCCCCTGCCCTCCAAGTGCCCGTTCGGGGTGACGGCGAGCGAGTACATCTTCATCTCTGGAACGAGAGAGAGAACACAGGGTTCTTCAGCTATGGGAATCACTGTTCAACACGGACATCGTGTTTTCTAGAGGCTCTGCTGAATGGAGGTTGAATTTTGTGGGCAATGCTAAGAGAGAGAGAACACAAGGTTCTTTGGCTACGGGAATCACTATTCAACACGGACATTGCTGCTTGGGTTCTCTAGAGGCTCTGCTGAATAGAGGTTGAATTTTGTGGGCAATGCTAAGATCACCCGCCTGCTTCGGTAGGAGACATACGGCAAACGTCAAGGCCTTTTAAGGGGTTTTCAGCAGTGGCTGAGCTTGGAACTCATGAGCCTCCAAAGAAAGTTTCCTTTGCTTAGTGTTTCTTGGGATATGGAGAGTGGCACCACAAATTTTTGGTGTTGGAAGAGACCAGGAAAAGAACACTGAGGACTGCCTAAACCCAATCTGGTAAATTAATCTCTTCTCCTTGTCATAGATTTTTCTACAGAGATTTTTATACAGTTCTGATCTGCTTCAAATTCTCTCATCAGGAAGGAACTAAGCAAACATTAGTCATTGTCTTGAGTCATCTGTTTGGGCGACAGGAAATGGAAATGGCTTCTAAATATCCACACACCTGGAAGACTAAACCTCCTGCAACAGGGAAATCTAATGACGGATCTCTGGTAATTGCAGAAAAAGCATCTGTTTTAGCTGTGCAGCAAGTAAAAAGCCCTCTGTAGAGAGATGTTGCAGCAATATAATATTAAACTCATACAGAACGCTGTTTCATCCTTTCTACAGACTGCAGAGGTTATAGACCACATCTCCTCCAGCAGCACCGAGTGCCGTAACACCCAAAACCTAAAGCTGTGACAAACACAAAAGTTAAGCGGAACAAACCCCTGTTTTGCTGGGTTTAGTGGACTCTGGTTTAATGCCTGTAGAAGTAGGGTTAGAGAGGGGGAGAGAAGGATGTGCCTATATTTAAACAGGTGGCATAGGAAATGATTCCATCTCACCATGTTTGGTTACTGCAATGAGAAATTCAAGCAAGTGAATTATCCCTGCTATTTTTCCTCCACCGGCTGCTTTTATAACACCGTTTGCTTCTTCGTATCATCTGTTTACTTGCTGGCTGACACGCACCACAGAAGTCCACGGGAACATTGCCACTCCCTTTGAGGGGTGGAAGATCCAATTAAAAATTTGTTAATCTGCAATACACAAGTTTCCCTTGCCAGTGCATCTGTTTACAGACCAGTAGCTTTGTAATAGAATTGTTAATGTCCTTATGCTGTTTAGTCACTGGTTGGCACCCAGGAGGCTTATGGAGATGCACAATTATTCATGGACTTTGACTGACAAAGAGTTCAGCCCTAATTCCTGTTTCTGTATTAACTGAGAAGAGGTGATGTTTTCTCCACCTATAAATCTGTAATTACTTGAAGCTGCCCAGCAAACAGCTGCTGCAAAGGAAGTGTAAGCTGTGGCTTACGTGCATGGAGATGCATTTGTTCACTTGGTGTTTGGGATCTTTGCTGCTCTGCAGGCCGGACGGCTCCGTCCGCTCGCGTTGATGCAGCTTTGTCTCCTTAGCTTCTCTGACAAATTACTTACGCTCCTTCCTTGACTGATTTCCACCTGCTTGCCACAATCAATAGCATTTCCCTTGCTGAAATGAATGCTGCTTTAGAAGAATTTAAAGGAATCCTAACAAAAGCCCAAGCTGAGAATAAAAATGCAGAGAAACGAGGCCAGTTCCTGTTTACCAGCGTGCTATTCACTGTGCTTAAACATCTGATCCCTTCCCATCCTATCTGCAAACTCAGTAGAGTGAAGACTGCCCCAATGATCCCCCTGTTTATACTGCACTAGTACAATGTGGCCTTATTTCAAATCAGTGGCAATGACCTTCTATAACACAAACAAACAACAACATTTCTACTAATTAAACCTCACCCAGATGCATTTGTGTGGGAAACCAAAGAGTGAGAACTTGACTGATTTTGAAAAGCTGCTCAGAAGTAGTTTATAAATATTGCTGTCAGAGAACCATTCTGTGATAAGGATACAGAAGAAAACATGTGACATAACTAAATAACCTTGTACAGTTTAAAACTGGAAAGGTATCTGCTTGAAGGAAATATCAACTCTCAAGATTTTTATTAAAGCTCTCTGAACACTTTTGCATAGCTGCTCTGCTAACGCAGTTATCAGAGTAATTTCCCAATAAATTAGCTAGCATGAAAAGATCTTCCACTTTATTCCATAAATTTTGGGAAAAAGATGAGTGCAGAAGTAGGGCTGTAGCAGAGCTCTAATTCACAGGAGAAAAATAGAAGCAAAATCCTACCTGTTGCTCGGAGGTCTTTCAACTTCTCAAAATCATCATCAAAGTTGGCCGACGTCTTGTCCTCATCTGTGTCCGACCTATTGGCATCACCCTGTGGAAAGGTGAAGGGTAATTAAAAGATTTTATTGCAATCAAAGTTTAGCACAAAGGCTGTTTGGATTAATTAGAAGCTCAGAGATACTTCAGCTCCTCTTGGCCAGAGCGCAGCCTCAAGCAGCAGCAGGGCAGAATGCCAAATTCCCTTGACACTGCCCTAGGATATGACCCCGGGCACATCCCTCTTCCCTGTTTTGATTTGTTTTCTTACTTGGACAGAAGGGATGAGGTTGTGATTGTGAACACTGCTCCCGCAATTGTCATTGTGTTTCCTACAC